CCAAGGCCCAGACCTTATCACGGACCAATTAAATCATGATCTGTGGTAACGGGTCATAAGCAGCAGCTTTTGAAGCTCCCCAGGCAATCCCAATGTTCAGAAAAGCTTGGGAACTCCCCGATGAACCACAGGAAAACCAAGCGCACTGTGGGCCTGGAGCCAGCTTCTTCCCAGCAAAGTTAGCTCCGTGGTCTCCAAAGTGTAGCTCACTTCAGAATCACTTGGAAGGCTTGCTAAAACCCAGATTGCTGGGTTCTACCTTCAGAGTTTGTGATTCAGTGGGTCTTAGGTGGGGCCCAAGAATTTGTAGTTCCTACAAGCTCCCAGGTGATGCTGATCTGATGTGGTCCAGGATCCATACTTGCAGCACCACTGGACTAGCTAGATTCTAGCACTTTCCTCTTAGGCTGGCCACCTGAATACTCCCCATCACTGTCAAAGAAAAAAGAAATCTATTCTTACTACAGGACTACTAACTTCCTTCTTGCTAATTTGGTAACTTTAGAACCTTCATAGCTATCCTTCTGACTGCTCTGCCAGTTAACCGAGAATTCAGTAGAGTTACGTTCATCTGTGCCCAGAGAATTAACAGGTGCCATCTAGGCTGCTGAAATGTCTTATGGTGCTTCAGGCTTATTATTAATACGGAGCCGAGTTACAGGGAATAAGGTCCATTAAAGAAGATACAATCTGGTAAGCGGGTCTATTGTCAGAGAATCCTGTTAATCAGGATCGTGGGAGAAAACAGACAAGGTGAGAGGAAAGTCTGGTGTGAGACAGCTGTGTGACTGTTTGGATGGTTCCCTGTTTGGATTATTCACACTGTTCCCTCCCACACCTGTCATCCAGGCTGGGCCGTGTGAGTAAGATGAGGACATGCTATGTTTGCCTTCGCTAAAATTACCTAGTAAATAACCTGTATTCCTTCGGTGTTTGTTCTTCACAGAAGTCTGCTAGAGCAGAGTTGATTTTAAGTTATTTAAAATGATAAGTTCATAGTTTATATTAAAGCTTTTGTCCCATAGAGAAGGCATTCTGAATATCATTTATAACATGAGTTTCTATTCTCAATAAGTCAAATAAATGTCAGTTTCATTTTTTAGAAGGTACACACAATACCTGTTAGTGTTGAAGTATAGTTTTTTCCCCCTTCAGGTTAATTCTGTGGCTGTTTCAAACACAGCAATTCAGTTATTTCTGTTGAAACATATATAAGCAGATTAATTATGGAAAATACAGCTTCCACATTGGACAAAACAACAACAATCCCAAGAAACAGCAAATGTTTAAATGGATGTTTTTGAAAGCTTATTTTGGCTATTTTTCCTTTTCACAAACTAGTATCATCTGAATTAAAGGTATGTATATAGTTACAACTCACAACACTGAGGAGAGGAAAACAGTGTCTTCTGGCTGAGTCCTGTGTTTCTGTCTCGTCGTCAGCACCTTAACTGCCTTCGTCGTCTTGTGCTGGGATGACTGACTCAGTTTCTCATTCCATCTCGTACCTTTCTCCTGACATCTGTTTTGCACATAGTGTTGTGCCCAGCTGCCTGTGGTGGTTCTCAAATGCTTACACATGGACACAGAACACAGTGCGGTGACGGCCAGAGGGAAAGAGTTCAGGTAGGTGGAGGGGGGCAAAGGGGGTGGGCGGATGGGGACCAAAAGAGACTTTGTTGGGTGATGGATGCACGATGCAGTATCCAGATCTTTCGTTGAGTTGTACACTTGAAACCTGTATGATTTTGCGAACCAATGTCACCCTGATAAATTCAATAAAATAAAAAAAATAAAGCATTTAAGGCAATCTGCTGCATTTGATTAAAGGCTTAAAATTCTATTAATAAATTTGTGACCAATGAAAAAATAAAAGAAAGAAATAAAAGACTAGAGTTTTCAGCTGAATTTTAGCGCCCTCTGGAGGGACTGCAATCTGCATTTCCAGCGTGTGTGCTGCCCCCACACACAGGCCGTCGCCTTCCTGCACTCCATACCCATTTCTGCTCGTTTGCCGGTGCTTGAATGGCTAGTCCTGCTTTCTGCCAAGCAAGGCACACATTCTTCAAGAACTCACTCGAGTCTTCTTTCTTCCAGCCTTTCTTAAAAACTCCATAACCTAATCCACCCTATTTTCCCTCAGCTCCTCAGTACTTCTTGTCTGTACCATTCTTAACTTCTGGGTTAAGCACTTCAAGTTTTTGTTAATGTTCTATGGCTCTTTAACTAGACTGTAAGCTCCATGCGAGCAGGGGTCAGTCAGCCTTGTGTGATCTTCATGGTGCCTAGCACTGTGCTGGGCACATAATAACACTTGAGTATAAATTAATACAAACATGTAATGTGTCAAAGCCACCTTTTTAAGCTGCATCAAACATTAATTCTACTAAGAAATGACTTGGAGGTAAAGTAGAGTTGTCCTTTATTTAAAAGGATTAGCAAAAAGTTTTCATGAATATCATTGCCTAAACTAGTATTGCAATCCGGATTATAGCCTGCTCTTTGATAATGAAGAAGCCTAACATATAATTAATTAAACCTGTTTCCCTCCACTGACCATCATTGAGGGATTCTCCATTTAAACACGAGACTTTAGTATGAAAGGCTTGTTTAAGTGCCTTACATTAGTAGTAGTCAGTAAAAAACAAAACAAAACAGGAAGTTCACATTCTTGACTCATTTAACATATATGAATTTGAGCCCAGTCGATGGAAATCATATCCAAAAGAGAGCTTTTGCAGTCTGGTTGGCATTGGCTAAACCTTTTATTTCTTTTAGGCATTAGGGTTGTCTGAGGCTTTGTTTTTTAAACTCAAACAGGCTGATATGCATGTTTAGTCTGCCTTCTTCACCATGCCCTCTGGCTTCTCCCTGCCTCTCTGGTCCCTCCAATCCCACTTGAGAGCTTGGTTTTGCACCAGTGCACCAGTCTACTCCATAGGCCAGTACTCCAGGAGTGGACACCTACCTCACTTGTGCTGTCACAAGAATAAAAAGGTACACCTGACACAGACTAAGTGTTCTGTAAATGCTATTGTCATCACTACCCATCGCTGTTCAGAACTTTATGAGTACCATCTAGAGAGAGACAGGGACCTGTCATACCAGCCCTTTCTTCCACTTTCAACCACCCAGCCTGACAATAGATAACACTCCAGGGAGTTTTCTTTGTCCTGTTCCTAAGAAGGGCTCTTTAATTAAAAAGGAAAGCAGCTGGCAGTTCCCTCTGGGGTCCCCTGGATTTGTTTCTTGCTTCAATGGTTATTTGGACAGAACAGACCTAGGGACACCCCTTCTTCCAGCCTCTGACCACCCTCCCAACTTCTTTCCCAGTCACCACCTTTGGAACTACCTCAGCCATCTTTGGCCTCTGAGACCAGCAAACATCATTTTTGAACTGAACTTCTTGCCAAGTAATCACGAGCTCCCAAATTTGCCAGAATTATTCCACCTAGGTGGAGGCTGCCGTCAACTGCCCAGTCAACCAGCATCTGCAGGCCTCCTACACCTACCTCTGTCTGGGCTTCTATTTCCACCACCAAGATGTGGCTCTGGAGGGTGTGGGCCACTTCTTCCAAGAGTTGGCTGAGATGAAGCAAGAGTCTAGTGGCTCTTGAAGATGCAAAACCAGTGCAATGGTCGAGCCCTCTTCCAGGATAGGGTGAAGCCTTCCCAAGATGAGTGGGGTACAACTCGGGATTCCACGGAAGCTGCCATTACCCTGGAGAAGAACTGGAGCCAGGCCCTTTTGGGTCTGCATGCCCTGGGTCCCACCCACACAGGCCCTCACCTCTGTGAGTTCCTGGAGAACCACTTCCTGGATGAGCAGGCAAAACTCACGAAGATGGGTGACCACCTGACTGACCTCCACAGGCTGGCTGACCCTCAGTATCTCTTACAAAGGCTCACCCTCAGGCACGACTGGGAGCCTTTGGAGCCCAGAGGCCTTTGAGGGGCCCCTTTGCATCCCCCTATATCTGGCTTCTGCCTGAGCCAATCCCTGAAACCTCTAGGCATCCTTTCAAGAGCCCCCTCCCATGCTTTGGACCAAATGTTAACAATCAAGTTCTTTACAGCAAAAAAGGAAGAAAGCTAAGAGTTATTGATTGCTTATTATACATCAAACACTTTCAGTTATTACTGTTTCCAGAAAATCATAATATAAACAGACCAATAGGCTCAGATAATGTAATTCCAAAGTTGCAGACCTATTAAAGAACTATTCTTGCTACCTGAGACCAGTTCTTTGAAATGGAAATGTGGTAGCACATTCTGGCCACCAGAGGGCAGACGTAGACTCCACAAGGGAGACGGTTCAGCCACTGGAAGCAACCTTAGGAGTAGTCACTTGTCATTTCTCTGACACGGTAGGGATTGAGGGAAAGTACTGTGAGAGGAAGACTGAAAACTGTCCTTCCCCCTGTACCCACACTTCTTCCACAGAGCTGAGATGCAGAAAGGGGAGGGCATTTAGGAAGAGGCTTCCCTGCAGATATGGGGAGATGGTGGGGGCACCATAGCAATTATTTCTCACAATGTTGTGCTCCAGTTAGGAATTCCACTCCCAGCTCTCTTAGTCTATATAGCCTCAATAGACTGATGAAAAGAATGTGACTCAAAACTCACAAAATTCAAAAGGTTGGGCAGCAGTAAAACATGAGTCAGACTTCTAATTCCAACACAGTGTGTAACAGAAGTTTTGCAACATGGAAAGTGGAAGAGTCCTCAAGCAATCTAGTCCTTCCCTCTTCACTGATGGAAAAAACGAGTCCCCAAAAGGTTAACCTACTCCTCAGGACCACAAGCAAAAAAGGAAAGAACTGGGTTTCTTTAGACTTTCTGTCTTTCTATAAGGGTAGATTTCTCTGGTTACAGTTGGGAAAATTTAATGACTGGATCACTCTCCAAAGGTAAAGATGGCATGTTAAAGCTCACTGGTGACCTAAATGTATTTCTTACTTAGAACCCCCCTTGCAGTTAAATAATTTAGACACAGAACATTTTATTAGCATAACAATTTATTGGCAAACGAAAGAAATAACATCTCCAGATCTCAACACATACAGGATCTTAGGTAATAAGCGTCATGAACATGTCCTTCCAGAAGAAAGGGATCTGCTGCGAACCAGCCCTCCCTCTCCTGTAACAGGCTGCAGTCGGCAACAACTCATCCTCATCCCTCAGAGGGTGAAACACGATTTATGTGGAACAGCATCAAGGCACTTGCTTCGATTAGAAAAGACACATGTGATATAAAACATGTTCCTATAAAACATGTTCAAGACACTGGTCTTGAATAGTTGAAAAAAAAAAGGCAGTATACATTTTTAGTAAATAGATAAGACTCAGAATTTGAGTTCATTCATGTGTTACCCTGATATTGTCTCACTTTGTATATAAAATTGCAGAAGAGACAAAAAAGGGTAGCATTCTATATAGACTTGTCACACTGATTTTTGAGAAATCATGGCAGCATCAGAATTCAAACAATAATTTCCCAACTGATTTGAATTAAAAGACAACAGCTATTTGACTTCAACTATTATGTCATTATTCTAGGGAGGGAGAATTTGGTGGTGGGGGGAAGAGAACACCTTAAAATAAATTTATTAAACCTGCAGTTAAAAATCCTTTCTGGCTTAGGCTGCTTGTCTGTTTGCCAACCGAAAAGCTTTCAGTTAGAAATGTAGTCATTAGTGTTTTGTAATAAGATTGTAATTATTCAGCCTTTTTCACACTCATAATTCAAGTCCAAGAAAGGTTTATACATGGTTCCAGACTTGTACACATGGTATCTCCAGTGAAGGCATTTGGTGTCCTTCATTATTTGAGTTTTCAAAATTAAATATCTCCTTCCCACTTACATCATTGAGAGAAAAAGAAAATACACACCAAATAAACCTCATGATTTAGTATAATGCTTATTTAACTTTTCTAACTGTATTCAACATGTTTACTTTAAAGTGCAAAACCCTTTAAAAATAGTCCTTGTCAGGATAAAAATTACCTTATAAAAATAAATCTCCCCCACTCCCACATCTAAATTCTCCATTTCCAATTACTACTATGCATTTTTTAAAAACTAAAACATACCTTTAACTTACAGTATTTCAATAGTATTTTACTTTATTAGTAGGCCATGATAAATCAGCTGGTGTGTTATTTTGGCCTGTTCCATTATAATTTTCATTCATGTTATTAGCACTCAAATTAATGATTCCATTCATGATTATCAAAAATCTTTACACAAAGAAAAAAGCCAGATTACTTCAGAGCCTAAAAGTTTCCTAGACCCAATTTCTTCCTTTTGCAGTTTTTAAGCCCAGTTTCAAATAAGGCATCACTAGAACAGATAAAGAAACCACTAGAAGAAGGAAGAAGAGAGAAACATTATAGAGCAGAGAAATTAAATAAAGTCTAAATCCTATCGATTGGTTTTTCACCAATCCGCATGTCACTGCGGAATGTTTCCCCGAATACACCAGGGGCATCCATGCCTCCTTGTTCTCTTCACCTGCCTGCCTCCTGTTCAGACCTCAGTCCAGGCTCAGCTCAGCTCTTCTGTAAAATACCTCCAAGTGCCACTGGGTGTCACCCACTCAAGTCACCATACAGCCCACCTCCCTGGATTTAGTATCATAGTCCCAGCACGTGGCACAGAGCCCTAGACTCCAGCACAGGTCCTCAGGAAGTGTTTGAGGAATTATCTACATCGATGCAAAAAGAACCTATAGCTCATCTATAGCACTACATAGAGGAAAACAATTCATTCAAAACATTAATAAGGATCACAGACCTTGAATTTGTCATTACAACTCCCACACTCAATTTTAAGTTCCCAAGAAATTCACTGCAGCCTTTTTCTCAGTTTTATATTAAGATCAGAGTTAACACCCGATGTGTTCTTAAATGACAAATTACCGAGAGTGCAATAAATGTTTAAAGATCACCATTTACCATAGTGCAAATTTAGCAACAAATTTGGCTTCAATGTCTACTGCTGTTTAAAAGCTGTTAGACTACCCAAATCTTGTTATCCTTTGGTCCTAATTAAAAATTTAAAAAGTAACTGTCAACTAGACATCTGTCAATGTTACCAACCATCAGAGGCACACACAGTCCTGTAGTTACTAGTGCTTCAGGGCAGGTCAGCCTGGGCTTCTGACCCAACCCAGGCTACTGTGTGAGAGACACTCCGCTGTTTCATCTTTGGTGAATCTGTGCCCCTCTCCTTCCAGAAACAGAACCCAGTGGTTTTTGACCTCGCTCTCAAACTAAGGTGGGGCTCCTAATCCTGACCTCCCTACTGTTGGGTGGGGCTACCCTAGGACTGGGTTCCATTCAGCCAAGTCCCTCTGTCCTCTCCCTTGTTGCGTCACAGATGGTCTTTTCAATGGCCCATTTCCTGCAAATTTTAGGGAAGTCTTAACTGTTTTCATAACTGGCTACCACAAGCAGAATCTCTTGTTTGTTTAGATGGGAGAGATACAAACCAGAGCACAATTCAAGAATTAGCTAATTATATAAAGCTCCAGAACTGTTTGCATCCACAAATAGAGAAAAATTTTAGGTAAAGGTCAAATTCTGTGATCCACTCTTCTAAAGGGTTTTTCAAATTCTTTGGACTGACTCTTTTTTTCCTCTGTGCCAGTGTTTGTTAGAGTTGTCGTAAACATGTAAACACGTACTTTCCTCTCACATAGCACCTAGGGGTGTTCAACCTTTTGGCATTTCTTGGGCCACACATTAAATACACTGTGACATGTAATCACAAAAAAAATCTAATAATGTTTTAAGTAAATTTATGGTTTTGTGCTGGACCACATTCACAGCCATCCTGGGCTGCCTGCAGCCCATGGGCTGCAGGTTGGACAGCTCTGCTAGACATTTATAATGGTGTGAATTCAAACCTGGCTTGGAGGAGGAAGGCAAAAGGATTAAAAACAAATGATAGGCCAAGATACCATGATTTTACTACTACCATTCATAAGACTGGATAGAATGGGCGAATGTTAGCTTAAAAATAAACAGAAACAAATACAAAGAAGAGATAGCATTTCTGAAATTGTAGATTTACATTCTAAACGGATGTCAAAATTCAGGACACTACTACATTTAATCATGATGTCAGTCAGCAAGAAGACAGACATACAGCTTTCCAACAGCGGAAAGGTATTTTCCACGTGAACAGACGGGCACAGCTCAACCAATGGAAAAGCCACACTTGCAGGTACGAATGTCCAACACTCAGGGTTTACTTTTCATAAATATTTAAGTTGTTTAGAATGTAGGTAGGGGCAGATTAAAAAATAATTTTGCACTTTTGTAAATATTATTTTGTCTGTTTTCAATGGTGTAGCTAAGTGTTTCAATCTCACATAAATGAGCCTGCTAGTCCTAATTTTGGAAAACCTCGGGGGTTTTTTTTCCCGTCACCTATCAAGGTCCAGATACAGACCTATAAACTTTCAATGTTAGACATTCTTGCTTTTCAAAAGCAACTCTTCCTATAGCCACAGCCTGTGGTCGGCTATCATAAATAATTGGTTTATAGGAATGTGATGTTTCTAAATCCTCCTGCATACTAGTTTTGGTGGCCCAAAGAGTTCAAAGCTGTCACTGTCATCAATATTCACTGTAAATCAATACAGTCCATGCAGTAAACATCTTAGTTTTCACTAAAACATCTACAAATTAATTATTGATGTTCCTTTGGAAGCTTTGTACATTCTTTTCTATTGGTTACAATAATTTTTCTTGCAGCGGAAAGACGAACAGTAACTTCTGTTTGAGAGAGACTGTCAATCCCCACTGACCTTAGCTAAAATGCCATGCGAAGGTCAAAAAATCACTGCTAAGTACACCAATTTTAAGGGAACTGCTGTCAAGCATTCCTATTTGCAATCTGTCCATAAGGGTTTTCCTCCAGCTTCTTTAAAATGCTGTGCAGAATCGCAAGGTCAGCATTCTGCCTTTTATCGGCAAGCCTGTCACTGCTAATCAGACGCAGCAGTTCAGGACAGATTCCATGAAAAATACCCTAAGTTACTGAAAGCTCGAATAGAGCTTAATGGTGGAGAAATACTGAGAAACAGAGACAGAGAGAGACCACAGAAAAGACAGGGGATTCCCATTATTTCTGCTGATCAGGAAGAGCTCTTCGCTTCCCTACATCTGCTGAACAAAAAGGCATGGCTAAACACATTAGCTGTATGACAGAGTGTTCCATGTAATGGGAAGTGGGCTGGTAGGATGTCACACACATGCCCAGCCATCAGGCCCCTGACAGGCCCGTGCCCATGGTTCCCTGCCTTAAGGTGGGAAGGGTGCTTTACCATTAAAGCCAGAGATCCTACTGCGGTCTGGGGAGCACAGAACTGGGTACAGAGAAGCACAAATAAGGAAAAAACTTGTGTAGTTATTCCCTTGAGCTCCAGAGGCCTCTTGATCTGCTGGTACAAAAGCAGGAACCACGCCCTTTCCCTGCCGCCTTTCCACTCTCCAAAGAGCAAAATCCTGTCTCACGTAAACACCAACTTTACCCCTTTCACTTCTGGAGAAGGAAGAGTCCAAAAGCATATCTACTAAGAGAGGGTGGTTGTTAAGTTTTAGGGCTACTTCACAGTCCAATTCAACAGATATTTAAGTACAATACCGGCTCTCTGCAAGAGAGCTCAACACCACAATAGTTTCTTCTTGATCCTGCTTCACTATAAGCTCTGCTACATTTGTGTATGTACAAAGGCCATCAGCTTTGAAAGAAGAATAACGCCCAGCCCATAAGTTACAATTTCAAGTATGCACGTTGCTACTGGCTGGCCATTCTTCTTCCTTCCACCTATTCAGTTGGTCACTAGATTCAGACCATTGGGAATACATACTCCTTTCTGAGTTTGAGATTCTTCTGCAAAAGCTATCGCTTCGTGTACACTATAAAAAAGGTTTTCATCTTCCTTCTGGCAGTACTGTCCCCGGGCCAGGGAATCCCTCACAGAGGGATTGCACTGAGCCAGCAGGACTTGGATGCCAATGGCTTCATAATCTCTGCGAACTTCTTTGAGCGTATGGATTCCTGCTGTGTCTAGAAACTGGATTGCACTGCAGTCGATCACTATGGTGTGGAGTTCCAAGGGATTGTGGGAAAGTTGCACTGAGACTTCATCCTGGGTTGCACCAAGACTCACTGCTTCCTTTTTGGTCTTTCTCTTTGCTGCCTTCTTCTGAGCTGCCTTTACTAAGATTGGATTGAGAGTTTTTTTGTACAAAGCAGATTTAAAGCATTCTTTATTTATGTAGTAAAGAGGGGCTACAAAGCGGAAAATCTTGATGCCGGGCTTAGCCTGCAGGTTTTTGTAAGCAGACATGGATTCAAAAACATCAGACTCTTCCACCAGGCCGAGCAATGAGCTCTTTGGCTTCTGAGTACGGAGGATGACACAAAACATAGAAAAACAAACTCCAATAAGCAGGCCAATTTCAGTGCTTATCAGTGCAGAGGACAGCATAGTCACAAACCAGATAACTGTATCCATTCTGCTAACCCTCCACATCTTGGGCAGATCCTTAAATTTACGTAGAGCTCCCCGGAGATTTACAATTGTGATCACGCCAAGGACACTTTTCTGAAGGGAATAGAATAAAGGGGCTATTACCAGGAGGACTAACAAAATAACCAGAGCTGTCATCACACCAGAAAGCTGAGTCTGGCAGCCCGTTGATTCTTTAACCAACGTCTTTGCAAGAGCTGCGCTAGTAGTAAAGCAGTGGAAGAAGGAAGGGATGATATTGCAAAAGCCAATGGCATACATTTCCTGGTTGGCTTTGACCGTGTAGCCATGTTTCTTGGCGAACATCTCAGAAAGTGATACAGTGATAGCAAAACCAATGATAGAAATAGCTATTGCATCTGTAGCCACACTAGGAATTAAGTTCCAGTCCGGTGCTTTAGGGGGCATGAACCCAGTGGGAATGTGTCCAGCAATACTGGTATTGTATTTCTCATTCAGTTTTCCAAAGTGAGAGGCTAATGTGGCTGCCACGACGACAATGAGTTCAGTAGGAATGGGTGCCTTGAGCTTGGACTTGAAGTGCTCATTGAGTTCTTTGGTTGGCAAAAGAACCAAAAGGCACAACAGGCTGGTGATGAGATCACAGATATTGGTCTTATGGATGTTTCTGAAGATATGTACCCAAGTAGTGATGAGTGAGCCCACCCCACTACTCCGAGGAAGGCTGAGCCCAAGGAGATACTTGGCCTGAGACGTAAGAATGGTGAAGGAGGCACCAGTGACAAATCCACTCAACAAGGCATCTGAGAGGTAGACAGAAACAAAGCCCACTTGAAAGAAGCCCATCGCTACCTGGAAGGAAGGAAATACAAGTGTTAAATATAAGCAGAAAAGAGCCTTTAACCCCTGTGTTACCCTGGCTGTTTTTCCATGGAGGGACACTAGCAGAGCGTCATAGGGTGTCAGAGCTGGATGCGATCATATACCAAACCTCTCATTGCAGAGACAGGGCTCACTCCACTGACGTTCAGAGGACTGAGCACACTATTTCTCATTAGCCCAAATGAAACAAAAACTTAGGATTCCTACCTTGTCAAGCTCTTAAAACGACTCTGTACACCTCCCCACCTCCACTCCTCCCCATCCAAGCACCAGATAAAGCGAGCTACTCTTCCCCTTCCCTTATCGGTTCCAAATGCCTGTAACAGAGACGTAATGCTGTCACTGACTCTTGGATGCTAAAAGACAGGGGCATGATGGGAATGGCAGGTTAGTGGGTTCTATGGGAGACCCAAGAAGGATTTCATTTCTAATCCTTTCTCCTGACTGACAATACAAAATAGAGTTCTTCAATGTTTTCTCTCTTCAACAGCCCAAGGAAACTACTCTCCTTAGAAATTCTAAAGGAAAAGGGAGGTGATCATCTAGCAGAGGTGTCTAACTCATGGCCCATGGGCAGCCCAGGATGGCTATCGTAAATTTACTTTGAACATTTTTTTTTTGCTCATCAGTTTTCGTTAGTGTTTGTGGATTTAATGTGTGGCCGAAGACAACTCTTCTTCTTCCAGCGTGGCCTAGAGACACCGAAAGGTTGGACACTACTGATTATAGCTTGAAAAATTCCTGCACGTGTCCTCGCCCCACCCCCATCCTGTTACCATTCCAGCCCGACTGTGTGCTGTGTCTGCCAATAACCAACCACACACAGTCTCAGGCAAAGCAATGTTCTCGACACAGAAAATCAAGGAGTTGTGGGAGGTGGTCTGGAGTCTTTTTCTGGTCTAAATTTTTACAACCAAATAATTAAAGCCTGGCTAACATTCATGGGTTAAGAGGCAGCTGCAACCCAGGGTTGAGAAAAGAGAAGCAGCCTTATCTTACCCAGAGAGTCAACCCAGCGTTTGAACTTTGGATCTCACATATCCTGAGCATTCATGGGTCAGTTTGATTATTGTGACATCTACGACCCCTGATAGATCTGAGATTTCATGCATAGTGATGAAATCACTATGTGTTCCTTTTGCCAGAAACAACCACTCGTGCCACTGTTTCTTACCTGATAAACTCCAGCCATAAACGTTACGGTGCTGCCCACTCTAATTGCATAGCAACTTCTGTCACATATGCTGTCTGACATCGGGGCCAATGAGGCGCTCCCATTGGAAACTGCCCCTAAAGACGGGGCGCTATGGGCTGTGTCATAGCCCGCTTTGTTCAGCTCTCGGTCAACTACCTCACCAATCATAAGGCACAGTATTCCAAAAATGCCCACAGAGATGTGACGAGAAGTCCCCAGCAGGAAATAAATTAGGCTGGCAAAAAAAGAGGTATACAGGCCGTAGATCGGCTCCTGGCCAGCCAAAAGGGAATAAGCAATGGACTGGGGCACCAGTAAGATGCCCACAATCAAGCCAGACATCACATCTCCTAAAATGTTTGTCTTCAGATCATACTTTGGGAGCCACCGCAAAACAGGAAGGAAGCCAAAAATCGTATGTTTTGCTTTGGTTGGGTTGCACTGGCAACTCTTCTTCAGTTTTTTGATGATGAATTGTTTAAAGTTGGTGTTTGGTTTCTCTTGAGGTTCCACGTGGATCCTAGGATAATGTCTGCATGGATCAGTGGTCTTAAATTGCTGGAAGTCAGTACTTGACTCCTTCTCAGGCTCCGCGCGGATCTTAGACGGAGGGCTGTCCTGGCCATTTCCTTCCACCGAGTCCTTGGGCGCGAGGCCATGCTGCTCTGCACTCTCCGAAGACATTTCTGCAGACAGCTGCGCCAGCCTCCTACCCAGAGAAAGGAACAGAACCACCTGATTCAATGATTCTCAGTGCTCAACATTTTCACAGCCCTACTTGTCATTCATGAGAGTTGACAGGAGTCCAGTTTGGGGCAGGTATCTTACACTCATTTTCCTTAACTGAGCCTTATTTGCCTTGGTCAGGGAAAAAAACAAACAGACCACAAACAGCCAAGCCAAAGCCAGTAATTCACTGGATACAGGACATCCCAAGAGTATAAACTGTTCACAGGTTCTTCTGCATGTCTGCTTGGATCCCCCTGTAGTTTTTTCTCCAGAAAAGGTATCAGGGTGGCCTGTTTCCTCCTTTCTATATGCTATCAACTGTCTTATTTTCAAATTTTTCACTCCCAGATATACTGCAAAATAGAATCTGGTCCCAGACATCCAGTCCTACCTGCAAGTCCCTGAAACAAGAAAAATGGCCTTGGGGGTGGGGGCAGGTGAGGTTTAAGTAACTCTCTAATTGTTGAAAACAAATATAAAGAAGAAAAGGCAAGTGAAAGAGTAAAAATAAAGACTTTTGGAAAAAGAAAGAAACTAGGGCAGAATGCATTGAGGTCTTTGAATTGCACTCCTTTGGTCAGTAGGAAGGAGGAGAGAGAAGCTGGTGAGAGACAGCTGAAGCAAACAAATGTGGAGAGCATGGGGTGGGCTACAGGGCAAGTGTCTGACACATGCTCTGGAAAGTCTCGGTCCATTCTCCTCCCTCCTGGTACAGAGCCACATCTGCCCTGTTCATGCAAATACAGACTCGAGGCACTATTCTACACGCACGCTCTAAATAGAGGTATGCTTTTGGCCTGCCCTTCCACTTGGACAGTAACCAGGTAATCCTGCATCACTGGGCTTGAAACTACAGAACCAGTGCCCTATGACCTTCCACTAATACCCGTAGGGAAAGGAAGAAGGTAAAATTAATCCGAAAGAAAGAAGGGGCAACAACCACAAAAATCTTGTAATAATAAGCGTAAAAGAGGAGGAAAAAAGCAACAGGCTCTCAAAGCAATAGACTGTTTACCAAATACTTCACAAAACAGTGTCTTTGTGTTAGCTGCTTGCTCAACTTCGCAAGGCCATCCACCTCTCTCTGCCTGTCAAGATCCTAATTATTTTTAAAGCCCAGTTAAAATGCAACCTTGTACACAAAGCCCTGACCAAGCTGTGCAAGCCTGAATGAATCATTACACCCTGTATGTCCCACAGCAGTCCGCCCCTCCATTGTAGGGTTGACCTCACTCTTGCATTGTGGAGTAGGTGTCTCTCCAGCCCCTGGAGGAAAGGACATCTTGTTCATCATTGTAATCATCAGTGAATGTCATCTAGTAACTCTAAGGCAGCAGGCTTGCAAAATGTTTGAATGAATGAAAGAATAAATGAATATACAAATTAATGACCCTAGCCAGAAAGATAAAATGCAGTATGTGGAGGACTCAGGAAGTTTCCTGTTTTGGAACTGACAGAAAAATTAGGCCCTTGTGAAGTTCTGTGAACCAAACATGACCAAGATGTCCAAGATATAGAAAAGCGACCCACATTAATTTTGTTTAAGACAAAGCATCATACCATTAAACAAGAGTAAAATAATAGTTACTTTGATGGTCTTGTTTAGCAGATAAGGAACAAGTGAATAAATTTAGATGGACACTTACCCTGAGTAAGCCGATCAGAATGGTGGATACACACAGCAGGTCTTCATTCCTCAGGGCAGCCTGTGTGGGACACTCTCCTCACTGCCCACCGTCAGGCCAGCCTCCTCCGAGTGTCCTCCTCATGTCCTGCCATTCCATTCTGGAATAGCTCTTAGTGCCTTCTGGGTCAAAAGGTTTCTCCAAACCTAAGATATGCAAAAGAAGCATAAGAAAAAACTAAAAAAAAATTCACATCTTGCCCTATATGGCTGCCTTCTGGGAAGAAAAAAGTTAAAAAATTAATACCAGAACTGCAACCAAGTGATGGAAAATGTAAGAAAGAATTAAATTGAAATGCTAAAAGAAACACTGTAACAGTGATGAGGAATCATCAGTAAACTTGACAAAGCCAAAGAAAGAATCAATGAAATTGAAGCCACATCAATAGAAATTGTCTAAACTGGAGCACGAAGAGAAAAACACAACAAAAATCAATAACAATAATGTAACAGAACATAATAAGAGCTGTGGTACATATTAACAATCTAACACATTCACAATTAGAATCTCAAAAAGGAGAAAACAGAAAATGAGTAGAAGAAATATTTGAAAACAAAATGGCCAAGAATCTCCCAAAATTAATGACAGACACCAAACTATACATCCAAGAATCTCAGAGAATACCAAGGAGGTCAAATAAATAAATAAATAAATAAAATAAAACCCCATACTTATACATTTTGTATTCAAGCTATCAAAAACAAAAGACAAAGATAAAATCCTGAAGAGAGCCAAAGAAAAAAACACACATTACATACACAGGAACAGATATAAGAATATAAACAGACTTCTTACTGGAAATCATACAACCCAGAAGATATCTTTATCACAGAACTGTAACTGTCAACCCAGAATCCCATAACCAAAAAAATATCTTTCAAAAAATGAAGGAGAAACTCAAACAAACAGTAAGAGGACTTAATGCCAGCAGACCAGTACCACTATATAAACATACACCAAAGAGAAGAAACTCGGGTCTACACAATATACAACAAAAAATGGAACATGTGAAGAGAAAATAAAATACATTTTTTATTAAAAAAAACCCTTTAATTGTTCTAAAAGATAACTTTCTTTTTAAAAATAAAAATATTTATTTGTTTATTTTTAGAGAGAGGGTAAGGGAGGGAGAAAGGGAAGGAAACATCAATGTGTGGTTGCCTCTCGTGTGCCCCAAACTGGGGACCTGGCTTGTTCCAGGCCAATGCAACCCAGACACGTGCCCTGACTGGGAATTGACCTGGCGACCCTTTGGTTCACAGGCTGGCACTCAATCCACTGAGCCACCACCAGCCAAGGCTAAAAGATAACTTTCAAAGCAAAAATAAGAATGCATTTTGTTTATCACTTACAAAATAAAATATATGAAAATAATAGCATGAAAAATGGTAGGGGGAATTGGGAATGGTAATGTCTTACATTAAATGTGCAGTGATATAATACTATTTGAAAGTAGGCTCTGATCAAAGATGTATATTATAAACCCAAGGGTAACCACTCAATTTTTTAAAACTATATATGATGTCAATTGTTATTTTATCTATAATTGCACAAATAAAATGGAATCATAAAAAATTCTCAATCAACCCAAAAGAAAGCAGAAAAAGAGAGACCCAAACCAGATGGAAACAGCTAGCAAGATGCTAGAATTTAATCCAAACATATAATAAATAAGCCTATTAAATATGAATGGTTTAAAAATTCCAACTAAAAGACAGAGGACTCTCAGACTGGATAAAAATAATAAGACCCAACTACATTCTGTATATAAGAAGCCCACTTTAAATACACACATAGATTATAAAGTGAAAGAACTTGTCCAACTTCATAATTTATTTAGCATGTAAGTGACTCAGCCAGGTAATGAAATCCTGATTTCAGAACTCCAAGAATAGCTCTCTTCTGAGCACGGTACCTACGACTCCTACAAACCATCTAACACGTTTTCTCTGACTGCCGGCACTTTAGGATTTAGCTACTCTACACAACCTAGGTCCACTTACCTGCTACCCAGCATAATCTACAAACTTTTACTGAGCTCCTTCTCCATAACTCATGGCCACGGTCCTCTTCCACCTCCAGCTCTCAAAAACGCAGGCATTCACTCACAAACAGCCCTAGAAGTGGACCTGATTCTGCCATCAGTCTTGATCCAGAGACTGTCTGTAGTCTCTTTACCTATCCACTCACCCCCCAAAACTGCCCTTGAAACTTTATACATTGCCCTTTTTTTCTATTTATTTATTTTTAGAGAGGGAAGGGAGGGAGAAAGAGAGAGAGAGAGAGAGAGAGAAACATCAATGTGCAGTTGCTGGGTGCCACAGCCTGCAACCCAGGCATGTGCCCTGACTGGGAATCGAACCTGCGATGCTTTGGTTCGCAGCCTGCGCTCAATCTACTGAGCTACACCAGCTAGGGCATTTTTTGCCTTTTCAAACATATTTTAAAAACAAAAATATGAAACTACATTAAAAATTACTTTAAACTGAATGTTAGGTATGCCCTCCATACAAATTAAATTCCTTGAGAACAAGCTCCATTCTGGTTCATCTTTAAAGTGTCCACACCATGCTTTCCAAAATAGGAACTAACATGATCACTAAACACATAACTCAAATACAGAGAAAGGTGGGTGCAAAGCAATATTGATTTGCAAGTAGAAATATCTACTTTAGAACATATCTTTCAAACATCCCTTTGTACAAAAATCTTCTCACTTCCCCAAGCCTGTTACTTCTTTCCATTATAGTATTCACCAGTTGCTAATAAAAATTAAGAAATTAGTGTTTTTCCTTAGAATACAGTCTACCGGCAAACTCCCATCTTAAGAAGGTTGGAATACAAACTATATATTCCATGAAGTTCAATAAAACAGGATTCTACTGTATCATCAAGGCTAATGTCCCCCTCTATTAACATCAGTAACTGAGAGTGGGCTAACTCAAGAGGAAAGCATTTGAACCTTCCACGTTACCATACAGGAATGGGAGGAAAAAAACCAACAAAATATCTGAAAGACAGATTTACATATTAAAGTATAACGGCAGTTTAGGTGACACTAAAGACACGTGTCTTTTCTTCTTTCATGAGCACTTGACTGCCTAGAAGGCGGTCTTATCCAGGCGACTCAACAGCAGAAGCGGTGCAATTTCCCATGGGAATTATTGACTGTCCCAGAGCCCTGGACTAGAAGAGAGGGACATCTCTGCTATGTGAGCCCGACGGGGCCAGACAACTTCTGTTGGAAAATGTGCAGATGTCGGTGACACAATGGCTGCTTTTGGTAAGTATGTACCATATATAATCTTACACAATAGTTTTGCAATTTGTAAAACTGAAATGCCTTTTCAGAGGATGATCATTTTCAGAGTGGAATGGTAAAGTCTGCCTCTGAAACACAATGGTTTGCTTGAATTGTGTGTGTGCGCTACAGCCTCACTGTTGAGTAAAACCGAAGCTGCCAATGACTGCGACCTCGGCATCCAAGCAGGGGAGACATCTGCACAGAGCTGTAATTTTCTGTAGGAAGCCTCTCGGGCAGAACCTTTCTCACCTGCACTCTGAAGTCCGGCCAGAGTTGAGAAGATAAGGACGTGGGAAATCGATTAGGGAGAAGGAAGCACAAACAGCAATAATTCTGAGGTTGGAGGGAAAGAATCTGAGATTAGGGCGGCTTGTTTCAAGTGCCAAAGCACACGGGAGACTGGTGGGAGGGGAAGCTACCTGGGGGAGATTCTGGAGGGCCTTGTGGCAGGTGGGGAAAAGCGGACTTTAATCTGCAGGCAGTGCATAGGCTCTGAAGGTTTTTGAGAAAAATCACTTACTCTATCATTCATTTGATAAATAATTATGTATTATTCCATCTTCTGGTGTCTAAAGGAAATGGACAAATCTCAGATGAACTCTGAGGTGGACCACACGAAAGGAAGGATAGAGGAGGAAATGGAAAGACAGGAGACAACAAAAAGTTTGGCTTTCGGTTTCACAGGTTTGAGATTTCTGTAAGATGTTCAAATGAGGACAAAGGGGCTGCAACTTCTTGGGCTGTGCTTCCCCAACGTGCTACATATAACTATTTAGCACGGAAGTTTATGTGAGAACACTAGAGCACACACTTCAGGGCAGACACCACGCCATTCTCATTCCCACGTACCCCAGCACTAACGCGATGCCTCACACTTGGTGTGTACGGCTATCTATCTGTGCTCACTGAAATGAACATATAGGTGAAATTTCAAGTAAATTTCAATGAAGATAGTAACTCTTCCTTATTTTCTGTTATTGAAAATTATTAGTAATGGTCATTTAAGTGTGTGATGAAACAAGGAGAACCACCATAAGGCTTGTATCAGTACCAGCACTATGACATGCTGATTCTTTACACCAATTCTAGTATAAAGCACGACAGAAGGCCAAATAATACATTACCCACGAAGAAAATAATGATGTAAAATGATGATCAAAGAATTAAATAGCTCCTTGCACAGTAATTTGCTGTTTTCAAAAAGATTTCATACACACCTCCCATTGCCCTCCTGGACAAATCTGAGGACAACATATGAATCCCTATCTCAAACATGAAAAAACTCAAAGTGTAGTCACTTGTTCAACTGGTAGAACCAGGTTCCCAAACCTCATCTTCTAATTTCCAAGCTGAGCTCTCTCTCTAAAGATACCATATGGCCCCCAAGTTTATTTCCTTCCTAAGAGGTCTCAGGAGATAGTTCAAAGCAACGCTCTGCGGCCAAGTGCTCAACTCATTTCTGAGTTATTAATTTTAATTAGTGATGGGAAGAAACTGCTGGAAGCAGGTTTGGTAAAAGAATTAGGAATGAAATTACTTCTACCTTTCACACTATACACATGCATTGGTACTATTTGCATTTTCTTTTTCTATTAGGAGCGATGATGTACAATTTACATCTGTAACTACATTTTGATTAGAATAATGTATGTCCCAGGCAATAGTCAAACAAGCCAGACCAGCTCTCGCCTCCATCCACTTGTGCTGGCTGCCTAACTGGACTGCTAGGATTTTTCTCAAACGCTGCCTTAATCAGTTCCTTCTTCAACACGGTACATATCAAATAGCACCACAGCCACCACCATGCCTCCCTCCTGAGCTCATCCCTGCCTTGCACTCCTGTCTCCTTCATTTTGCTTTATTTTTCTCCCTGACCCTCTCACCATCTCCTACTAAGCATCTACTTGTTCGTTATTGTCTGTCTTTCCCACAAGCACAGTAACTTTCTTCATTTTATTCACAACTGTATCAATACTCCCAAATAAATTCTTAGCAAATATTGTTGAGTGAATGGATAAATGATAGTTTATAACAGCTATGTGTTAAAGAAAAAGGTTACCTCTCTCCCTCCATCCTCTTCCTACCCCACCCCCAACACACACAATAACCAGGCTTGTGTTAAGAAATTATACAGTTTGGCAAGCGTCTGCCTGGGGGTTTGTGCTCACTAAAAGTTATGTCAATGCTCAAAAATCGCCCCTAATAAATCTAATCTAGATCTCAGCAGTGCCCTGAATGTGTCATTTCTACATCTTCCCCCAGACGGCAGCACATTATAGAGCGTACAATGATATTAAACCAGAGACCTATTAAAATGCAGGTTCTCAGGCAAGTCCAGGGATGTGATCGAAGACTCTGCATCCTGAATGATTCTGAGCCAGTGAGCTGAAGGCTGAACTTGGAGAAATATTGGGTGTGATGTGGAGTCACACTGATCCCAGCTACACTGTTCAACAGCTATATAGCACTGGGTAAAAAAGTTCATTTTCTCCGCATCGATTTCTCACCTATAACATGGGCATAGCATCACCTGACTTGCAGGGTTGTTGTAAAGTTAACGTAAGTAAAGTACTAACACAGTGCCTGACATATAGCTGTTGCTCAATAAATTATAGCTGCTAGTCTCTGTCCCTTGAGAATCCTGAAGGAAAAAGGGTGAGTGGGTGGGGCTCATTTCCAACAGGTTTAGCTCTCCGTTTTCTTACTGACTGAATTTTCGAAAACACGAACTTCTGCTTAACCCAATATTGGACATTACATTAGTTCCAGACTTCACATAAAGAGCTCTGGGGACAAGGGCCTGCCGTGGGTGGGGCAGGGGAGGGGACTAGTCTAGCGACCAGAAAGGAGTTTAAGTCCTGAATGTTTCTAACTCACCGCTGTCCCCAGTCCGTGCAAGGAAAGGGCCATTCTGGTAGGAGTTTGGGAGTACAAGACCTAGCTCTGCAAACGGCTTGCCGTGTGATTCTGGGCAAGGCCCTGGTCCTCCCTCTGTCCTTTCAGTGTCTTCACCAATCCAGGAAAAAAAATTTCAACTTAGTCTATGAGTCTCCAAGAAGGTCCTGATTTGTACTGAACCAGGTGTGTTGTTTTTAAAAACCGAGATAACCAAGTCCTCCTCGGTGTCCAGGCTTCAGTTTCCCCATCTGTGGGGGCGGGAGAAGGTAGTGGTGGCAACTCATTCTCCTGGGTTCCGCTCCCAGGTTTCTGGGTTCGAGATGGCTCCCAGATGTAGGCTCCCAGATATCTAGGTCCCAACGGCAACACTCGTATCTGCGAGGTGCTGTGGCAGGTGGGTGGTGTGAGCTGGAGGGCGGAGGAGCTCGGCCCGAGCCGGGCCCGAGGAGCGGGGCGGGGATGACTAAGTAGGGGAGTGGGGCTTTGCCACTCGCCCTGCCTCCGCCTCCGCCTCCCCAGGAAATAACCCCGACCACCGCAGGGCAGCGACGCCCACAGCGACCGTTGCTCGGGTTTCCTCCCAGCACGCCCAGGGCACAGGCCAGGACGACCCTAGAAGCGGCCGCTGACCGCGTGGAGGTCAGCATCGCTCCCTCCCCCCTTCTCGTGTCCCTTCCCCAATTCTCACCTGGGCTACCCCGCGCGATGAGACCCCGCGCAGATGAATCCTCTGCCGTGTGGGGCTGAGGGCACCAGACCGCGCGGGCACAGGCAGCCCGGTCCTTAGCCAACCTCCCTTTTACTAGCTCGTTCCCCTCCCCGCCCATCTCCCGGCCTCCGAGGAGGCGGGGCCCGGCGGGCTGGGAACTGTGGGCGCTGGGACCAGGTACCCTGGAGGTGTGCGTTAAGCTAACTCAGAGCTACTGCCCGGGTCGTGGCAGTCACGTGACACAGCTAGCGAGAGACGCGGCCGCCAGCCAATGATTGGGCCGGACTGGACGTCGTGCCGTCCCTGGACGCTTTCCTCCTTGCGATTGGCTGTCCTCGGAAGAAAAAGCCGTGCGTCGGGGATTCTTGGGGGAGGTCCCTCCCTCCCCTCGCGAGGCGGCGAATCATCAAGTGGACGTTCACGGGATGTCCACCGTAATCCCGAGAGTGTAGCGAGGAAAAAAAGTGTCCAGAACGACGCGGAAGCGCCCTGCCTGGAGTTGTGAAGTGCCCTCTGTTTGCCACGTACTTCGTCTCTAACTCTGATTCATTGGGACCTGGTTCCTTGCCACCCTCCCCCTTACCGATGGGGGAAATAAAGGCCCCGAAAAGAAGAGGCCAGCTAGAAAATTGGAGGCTCTTACCCGGGTGTGATGTATTCTCCATCGAAAGGCCCAAGAGCCAGAGGCTCTTTTTAAATGTAAATTAAAATGTAAAGTAAATACAAAATGTCATTCCAATCCTCCTTCAAAACCCTCAGTGGCTCTCCTTGACATGTGTATTGTAGATAAACTCAAATGGCCCCTATGCTTCCAAGGCGCTGAAAGCCCTAGACCCTGGCCCTTTCCTCCTCCCCTCGCATCCCTCCCTCAACACTCTCCACCCACCCTGGCCTCTGCCAGGGGCCTGACTTTCAGCTTTTTGGTGTCTTCTGGTGTCTCAGGTCTCAGCCTAAAGGCCCCCCTCTTCAACGACACATTCCCTGCCAGTCACATCCTGTTAGGTATGACTTCTCGATTGAATTATTAGCCAGAACTGTCGGTTCTCTGATATTTTATTATTTTTTTTTCTGAGAACTGAAATTCAAAGGCCAAAGTTACTTGGTAGCTTTGTTTTTTAACTTTTCATGAATAGATAGATACGACTGGAATCTAACAGTAATTCCAGGCAGATGTGACAATTTACCAGGAGACTACGGAGTGACTTTGATGCTTTTGAAAATGGATTTAGGAGCAGACATCTGTCTCTATGTTTAGTCAGGACTGCACTGGAGTGGGTTTATTATTTTTTTTCTTTTGAAGAATCTTTATATTTTCAGCAGTGCACCTGACTTTAAAACTTAAAAATAGATATGGCATTCTAAATTTGGGGCTCAAAAACATGTCTTCAACTTCAGTTTGATGTTGAGTGCATGTTAAATTGCTTATGCTTGTTTGAAGCCCGAGGAGGCCCACTAGGTAGTAATGGGAGAAGACTGGTGAAGGAAGCAAAATGGTTAACTTCCTTTGCTTCCCTTTCCAGGGAACCTCTTCACAGCCATTTAAGGAACTCCCTTTCCTACCTAGAGATGATCCTCAAGTTTCTGTCACCCACCAGGTTCAGAGCTTCCAGAGTCACAAGCCTTTCCAGGAAACCAAAACATCTGGGTTCTACTCCTGACTCTACCCCTTATGACAGGAGACGATCACTTCATCTCAGCAGGTGTCACTACCCTTTAAAGGGTAGTTAATAACCTGTCCCCAGAGTCCGGGAGAGGGTCAAGTAAGGCAATCGATGTTAAATATTTTGTCAGTTCATAGACTGCAAGACAAGCAGATTGGCAACAGCTGCCAATTTCTAGATATTTGTTTATAGATGCACCAACTCTTCATATTTATTTTATTATTTAATTCTCACGGCAGCTTTTCACAAAAGGAGGTGCCGTATTATGATTCTTCCTTTGTAGGTGAGGGAATGGGACTGAGAGGTGTTAGGTGACTTGCCCTCGGTCCCATAGTTAATAAGTGATAACAGCATGCGTTTAACCCAATTACATCTGACTGCAAAGCCCTCTCTTCGCCAGGACATACACTGTGTTAGTCAAATGTAAGCATCCACCCCCATGTGTGGATGGGATACACACCAGTGAAGACTGGCTCAATTTTATAGCAGTTACTATTTTCTTTTTCTTATCCCATACATTTTACTCTGCATTACAGATGAGGAAACCGAGGCTCAAAATATTAAATTACTTAACACAGTCATGCGACAGACAACTAGTAGATTCTGAGGTGGCCTTTCCAACTGGGAGCTGTCAGATGCCAAAACCCGAGGACATGTCAATGACAATTGACATTGGCAAGGGGATGGTTCTAGAGAGGAAGATTTAGGTCAGCCATTGGAGTCTCTCTCTCTTCCAGTTCAGAATCCCAGGCTGCTATTTAATGTTGTGGTTCCCCCATATCCCCATGGATACATCCCTGGCATCTCATGGAACTCACCTGTGGTCTGTCATTCCTGTCTCACCTTGACCAATGACGCAGTTCTCTGCAGTGGGAATCCAAGAGCTGAAACAGATAACCAAATCCCTGCTAATGGAGAGCTGGCTAATAATCTACTTTTCCCCAATAACAGCAGGTCAGTCGCCCAGCCAGAACCCAGATCTCTTTACCCCTCCCACCTAAGCCTGGGCATTTGTCCTCCTGTTGGTCTAAGGTTCATGAGGTGACTGGCACAGATTATAGCCATTACTCTGTCCCAAGTGGCTTCCCAAGGAGTAATGATATAGTAAGTGGAGGTGTTTGGTCCAGCAAATAAGTCATTTCAGGTCAGAGGCCACTTTAAGGTTCACCTCCTCAGCACTTCTGGACACCCCCTTGGAAGTGACCCAGGAAGGGCAGGTCACTTCCTCTGAGGCCCCAGAATAGTGGGCCCCAAACTGACTCCCATTGTTGAGTGGGTTATTCCTAATTTGCTATTCTGATTCATTCTCACTGTTACGGGTGTTCGATTGTTCTTGGAAATAGGTAACATGTACAAGTAGAATAAACAAGTTTTAAAATCAGAGTTTACAATGAAAAGTAAATCTCCCTCCCACACTCCGCATTCTTACCTCAGTGTCCCTTTGTGGCGGCAAACTCAGTACCAGTTTCCTATGCTTCCTTCCAGGTTATTCTATACCAGCAATTCTCAATTCTGACTGCACATCAGAGTCTCTTGGAGAACTTTTAAAAGATAACAATGTTCGGTCCTATCCCCAGATATTATGATTGAATTGGTGTAGAGTAGGGTCAGAAATGCATTTAATTTTTTAGCCTCCCCTCCTAGGAGATTCTACTGAACACCTATGGTTGGCAAACCAGTGATCTATGCATGTACCAGACTACAAATATACATATTTTTAAAACAAGTGGACACACAATATATACTACTCTACACTTCAAAAAATTAATCATATTTCTTGAAGATCATCCCATATCAGGGCTTGCAAACATCTGACTACATATTGCTGAGTCACACACAGATCACTCCAAAACTTAGTGGCTTCTGACAGCAACAACCGTTTTGTTATCTCCCATGGTTTCTGTGGGTCAGGAGTTTGGTAAAAACTTGCCTGGGCATGTCTCATAGAGCTACAGTCAGACGGTGGCTACAGCTCGATCAGGGAGTGGGGGACAAAACTGCTAAAGGCCATCTGGACAATTTCTGTAGCTTCTTGTGTGTCTCTCTGTGGGCCAGTTTGGGCTTCCTCACACCACGAAGTTTCAGGGCAGTCTGTGCTTATATGACAGCTAAAGGCTTCAAGAGCCAGTGTTCCTGCAAGCAAAGAGGACACTGTGCAGCCTTTTACGGTTCAGCCTCGGAAGTCACATAGCCTTACTCCTATTGCCCTTTGTTGGCTGAACATTATAAAAGCCTGTCTGATTTCAAGGGGAGGGCAATAGGCCCCAAGCCTCAAAGGGCGAAGTGTCAAAGTGAATTGTAAGAAGCACATGTGGGACGGGAAATATTGGGGTAGCCATCCTTGGCCACAGTGCCTGTGTGGCATTCTATTGTTTGAGTGTACTGTCATTTAGTTAAACATCGAGGGAATTTATGCTGTTCCTCTTTTTTAAAAAATATTACAAAGAGTGCATTGAATGATTACAGGCATTTTTTTCTGCCCCCTCTTCCCCAGTCCCCAGAAGGAGCTTGGCCCTCCTAGATCTCTTGCCTCTCAGGGCTGCTGTGTGGCAGAGCAGGAAGCTACCATTCTTGGGCTCAAAAGGAGATCCCTTCCTGCTTTGGACCTTTGAGGGAAATTAGGCCTAATTGTCCTGGAGGAGGAAAGGATGGAGAGCCATGTAATCAGGGAGGGAGGAGATTTTGAATGTCTCCCCAGGATGGAGACGGAGGCCTAGGCTTTGCAGGATCCTTTAGTGGCAAGGATCTGGACCTTTCTTTGCCCTGGGAGGCTGGAGCCATAGCAACAACCCCTGATCCCAGGTAAAGAGCAGAACGGTTGGCCTTTTCGGGTCCACACCAGCTTAGATGAGGGGCACATCCATGGTAGCAGTGTGGCCTGACGGCCAGAGGGCTTTTCCCCTGCTAGACTGAATTAGACGGAGAGGTGTTCACTCGAGCCTGGGGTGAGGCAGCGGTCACCATGATTATTAGAATTGAATGTCCTGCCAGTACTGTGGGATGGGGGGTTGGAACATACAACATTTGATTTGGAAAAGAAAAGAAATGTGACTCTTATACCTGGGGTGGAGCAGAATTCACGCTTGCCACAAATATTGAGATACAGCAAGTGATCTGTTATTTGACGTTTCACGGCAACCCCAAGCCCCACCGCCCGGATCTGTTTTCAGGGATCTGTGCTGGGTGCTGGGGAAGATGGCCATTCAAAATGGAACGTGATCTCTGCATTGCAATACTGACTCTCCCGTTATTTTTTTTAACTTAAACTCTCGTAGTTTTGAATAGCCAGACAACTTCTTAAAGAATTAGTAGTTAAATTGTTTTGTCTTTTGGGGCAAGTTTGGTTTTTTTTAATTAAGAACATAAGAATATAATCAAGCATGTGTGTAAAGGTTTAACAACACAAATGTTTATTGATGATATGAAAAGTTTAGAAACAGCCTAAATAACTAACAGTTGAAGTATGTTAAATAAATTATACTACAGCCACCCAGTGGAAATCTATGATGCCATTAATCACATAGTAAAAAAATATTTAATGCAGGTAAAGATGTTTA